AAAGATACAGATAATCTTTTCAAAACCTCGTATTGCAGAAATTAGATGTCTGTTAAAAGAAAGAAGAATTTTGACTCTTACTTCACACCATGTAAGACTGACTGAAAATGGATACATTCCTAAATGTAAAAGCCAAGTCTATAAATTTTCTTGAAGAAAAAATTTTAAAAATCCTACTAAAGTTAAATTGAAGTTTATGTAGGATGTTAAAAGCAAGAACCTTAAAGGCAAATTATTGATAACTCCTCAAATTTAAATGTTTTAAAAAGCCATGCCACAGGATGGAAGAATATTTATCTCAAAAATGTTATCAGATAAAAGTCCTTTCATCAGAATAATATAAATAACTCTTACAAGTCAACAACACAAGGAGCTCAAATGAAAACTAAAACTCAGAAAGATCTGAAGTTACTTCACAATAGAGTAGCAGATAAGTACATAAAATAATATAAAATAAATATTTTTTGTTTTTGTTACATATAATTATACATGAAATAAGTACCTGAAAATGATAAAAGAAGTAAGTACCAGAAATAAGTATTACTTAACAAAATAATCTTCTGGAGAATGTTTATACTGCAATGTAATGGGTTACACATGTACTAGTATGACTTGAATTTAAAAAAAATCAACGGTTGGCAAAGATATGAAACCCTCATATACTGTGGGTGACAAGAGTGTTAAATAGCATAACCTCTGTGAAACTGTTCAACAGTTCCTTGTAAAGTTATGTGTATTCTTACCCAGAAGTTATACTTCTAGGTGTTTATTCAATAAAGATGAAAATGTGTCTTCCAAAGTTTTGTTCATGAATGTTCATAATAGTTATATTTGTAACAGTGAACAACTCCAAACAATTGGTAAATAAGAGTGTTGTACTCAAAGATAAAATAGAATGCTGATAAATGCAAAAACATGGATGAATCTCAAATGCAATATTATATACTATATTATTCCATTTATATAAAATTATAGAAAAGTAAATTATGTTCAAAAACATAGGCACATGATTGCTTGGGACTAGGGATTGTGGAAGGGCCACCTGCATGCCATAAGGCAAAAAGGAGGAGGGTGGAAATTCCCAATATCTTGATTTTGAAAGTTATTATATAGCTGTGTACATCAACTTGTACCTTTTAAAAATTTTTGTGCCTGGCTGGCAAGCTTGAGGTCATGAGTTTGGTTCCAGGTACCGAAAAAAAAAAAAAAAAAAAGATTAAAAAAATCTGTGCTTTACAGGAAATTATACATCAGTAAAACTGATTAAAAGAAATGAAGACAAAATTCCGCATGCAAGAAAACATAAAGCAAGGTTCAGAGTCATGGACTCTTAAGTCATTGTTGAAGTGCAAATCAGAGGTGAATTTTAGGAATCCATATCCAGAAATACTAAAAGAATCTTTGTGTGTTCAAATTTGCAATCTTGGTGAACTTGAATCCTCGGGGTATTTAAGAATCATGACCTAAATCAGCTTGCTGTTTACGTGGTGTTGCAGAAGGCTGGAAAATTGGAAAAGATGATATGGCTAGTTGGTGAGGGTAAAGACTGTGGCCAGATGTAAAGAATTATTAATACACTATCGGTCAGGGGGACTGAAATTAGTATTGGGGGAAAAAAGAACCCCGAGGGCTGGGGATTTAGCTCAGCGGCACAGCGCTTGCCTGGCAAGCACGAGGTCGTGAGTTCGATTCCCCGTGCCGGAAAAAAAAAAAAAAAGAAAAGAAAAAGAAAGAAAAAAGAACCCTGAGCAGTACTGACTTGCTACCAGCAAAGAAAATAGGTGGTAGACTTGATTTTGTAAAGAAAGGATCCTATCAGAGCACTTTACAGCCGCTGCTTATTGACTAACAAGCTTAGTGGTTTAACCAGAAGCAATAAACCTGATGCGTCTTGGCACTGGTCAGATTGTTTGATTTGGTCAGATACGAAACCCTCATCAGTAACTTTGGAAAATACAGTTCTCAGTACCAGATGCAGTCCTCGCTGAGGAGCAATACCTTAACTGCCCTGGCATAGCGTCAAGAGCAGACAGAAGACAGGAGTTTTCCAACTAGACACGGAATAGCACACTTGAACTGTGGGTGATAAATGCACATGTTTGAAAAGTTCACATTGCAAAATTGACCTGACCAGGCTCTCTCCTCATTCAGGTTTTTTTTTTTTTTTTCAAATCTATCACTTGCCTTTTCTACTTCCAGTTAAATGGGAAAACATTCTACTGAGAAGTAAAGCGAGTGGATGTTAAGTTTACCACGTTGGGCCTCCATTTTAATATTTGAGAAGATTGAATACATTTTAAATTCCCTTAGAAAGTAGCCTCAATATTTTAAACTAGAAAAATCTTTAAGCGCAAAAATTTGCTCTAGTGAGCAAGGAGAACCGAGAGGTGAAGCTACTGCTATTACACGGTGGGGACCAAGCAGTCTGTCCGTGCGACCTCAGGCAAGTCCTCTCTGTGCTTTAATTTTCTTATCTATAAAATGGGGATAATAATAGTGGTCCATTATCTGTTACCTGCAATTCTGAAATTCAGAAAGCGCTGAAAAATAAAAACTTTTATTTTTTTTGGCTATGATTTTCTGAATTTGTGGTTCACTTAATGGTGTTGAAATCCAACCCGAAGAGCAAGGCTTTCTAGTCATTTTTTCCAGTTAATGCAAACATTTATGGATATGCGGAAATGGGAATGTTTGCTCGTGGGTGCTGCTCTTAATCCTGGGAGAAGAGTTTATAATGTATGTTTTAAGAATTTTATTCCTTTTGTAAAGTCTATAAACAATTTGGCGTTCTGAATCTCCTTCTCCCAGGGGTTCAGTTGTATAATAACCTTCCTCAGAATATTATGTGAGGATTGTATTTCCAGGAATAGAGCTCACTGAACGATAAAGTTATTATTATTGATCATTACTGACTCTCAGAAGTTAGGTTAATCACCCCAACTCTTAAGAAGAAGTGAAGATGAGTATTTGATGCTGACTAACTTTATTTTAGGTATTTTGTACTTGTTTTAGTCTTTTAAACTTGACTTACGATATAATCATTATTGCCAGGGAATGTTTCTCTTAAGAAACTATCCTTCTTTAAACACTTCCTTTTTGCAGCCTTTACCTACTTTGAAGAATCCCCTAGCTGCCTTCAGGTTTTAGCTGACAGACTTATTTTTCAGTCATCTTTCCTACACTTCATTTTATGAAACTCATTCTTATATTAAAGATTATAGGTCTCCTAACTAAAACACAGATGGGCATGCTTATTTCCTTGGAGTACCCTATAAAAATGAGTCCTCGATACCTTGTCAAATAATGCTTTTGTTTTTAAAGTAATTATTTAAAAACACAAGAGCAAAAGTATCCATCTACATTTCATTCAGTGTCTCCTAAGCAGAATTTTATTTGTTCAGTTGATTTTTGGCATGTTTCCTATTTCTTCAGGCTATGAAGAAAATAGCTGTGTTTCATCCTTGGCCTACCGGCATAGAGGACTGATTTTGCAATACCCTGCTAGCACTGGGAAATTTTTAACTAAAAACTTCATATGCTGAAATACTTGAGTGCAAAAGAAATATTATGCAATTAAATATTATATTTCAAAAGAAAGAGATAAAGTAATCGCTTTAAAGATGCTTTTTGGGAAGATGTTTGCTTCCATTCTGAGTTGGGGTGAAGCAGACCAATAATGAATCCTTTGGCCACTGCGGGTCTTGTTCCCCTTGTTTTTCCCCTGGGAAGACATTGGTGCCAACTTGGGACTGCAGCCCATGTGAGTGTTTACCCTTTGTTTGGGTACGTGTTACTAGGTGCCCCACTGCTGGGCAGAATTTCCAGCACCTGGGTGGTTTTACCCCAGCATCTGAGCGAGGAGGAATGTGGGGATAGGGCCCTGACTCAGACAGCAGGAGAGAAAGGGATTAGTACAGTGTATGGATCCAAATGGAGATTTTCTGTTCTGATGGACAGGTGGAAGAGGAAGCAGTGCAGGATGGGGCCTTTACTTGTCTCCCCTCTTTTTGGTTCTTGCTGTCATGCTTTCTGCTCTGTATTTTGCCGATTTGACAATCAGCCAGCTACCACTGAACTTCTTCCTCCTGAAGAAGGCGGGTGGGGAGGAAACCTCCTTCGTGTGTGAGATATACATCCGGGTCTTTTGGATGCCATGATTAGCTGTGTTACATTAGACCTCACATTCTGAGGCAGACACAATCAAATGCCCCTTCTGGCTTTTGCATTCTCTTTTCCTATAACACCAGAAAATAAGTGCAGTGATTGAAGGGTGCTTTTCCTCTGCAGTTTTCTAGTAATTGAGCTTAGAGAAAACCTCTTCATTCTTGGCTAGATATTTCATTTTCAAAAACACTCCAGGAGCCATGATTTCTTTGAACCTCTTTGGGCGTCCAACCTGCAGCCTGTGGGTTAGATATGCCCATGTTACAATCAAAAAATTAAAAATAAGGGAAGCTTTGTTGCTTATATTCATGACTGTATTAGGTGTTTTATGTGTGGCCCAACACAACCCGTCTTCACTCAGTGTGACCTAGGCAAGCCAGGCATCCCCACATCCCTGGTTGGAGGTGGGCTCACATGTTTGGGTATTATAAGGTCAGGATTAATTATAACCTGCACTGCAGGAAGCTTTCTTTACAGTTTGTCGTTTAGAACCACTCAGTTCATGAAAATATTGTGTTCCCATTTATTTTCTTGTAATCACTGAGGTTTCTCCTGATATTTTTTAAACCCCTTTGGACCCAAATTTCTTCATCCTATAGGGAAGGAAACAGGGAGTGGCATAAATGTTCTATCTTTTAAAAACTCAGGATTTTATTTAAAATGGAAAAATATTTATTAATTTCATTCATGAACAAGACTTCCTGTAGTAGGATTTCCACATATCATATAAGTAGACGTAATGTCAGGAAGCCATAAAAGTTATAATAAATAGATGTATTCTAATGTTCTTCTCTCGCCTCTCTCCTTCCCTGTACCCTGGACCTGTCTCTAAGCAGTATTCCACAGAACTGAAGAAGTTGTACTGCCAAATTGCGAAGACATGCCCCATACAGATCAAGGTGATGACACCACCTCCTCAGGGAGCTGTTATCCGCGCCATGCCCGTCTACAAGAAAGCTGAGCACGTCACAGAAGTGGTGAAGCGATGCCCCAACCATGAACTAAGCCGTGAATTCAATGAGGGTTAGTATGATTGCAGTCTGTCACTGTTCAGCCCTTGGGAGGTAACAGTGCTATGAGCGTTCATTTTTGGTACCAACCTACCCGCTTTGTACTTCTGTAAGCTATAGTCTACTCCAGAATAGCTGACACAGTATGTAAGAATAATGCTAAATAGTTTTGTAGCTTTCACAGTGTTTGAACTTCTTAATTTCATATTCATGATTACTGGATAACCTGGACTGGTCTCCCTACCACTTCACTCTTTTTTGTTTTTTCTTGCTTTTTTTTTTTTAATGAGAAGGCATAAGCAAAGCAGTATGGTAGTTGTTCTGCTTGGCATAACTCTGACATTCTGCAGTTTTAGTGCCTTTCCCAGCGTGATTTTCAATCTGTATATGGTGAGAGCTGGAGGGGCGAAAGGAAGGGACATAAAGGAAGAGAAACAATGAACCAAATCAAAGGGGGAAGGGGAAAAGAAGAAAAGGAAATGGGAGTGTAAATAATGGGTGAGAGAAGTAGATAGGAGGGCAGGCCTTACTGTGGGAGGTAGTCAAATGGAAGACCCTATAGCAGGGGCAGGTAGCTGGAGCATTCTCTTTAAGCCCGGGTCCATGCACAAGCCAGGTCTCATCTTCTGATCCTCAGACCTATTGAACTTACAGAAGTCACTGTTTGCGAGGGTTCCCATAGATCTGCTATGATGTTTCTGTGAGGGGGCTAAGTAGAGAGCAGTGAGGGGCAGGAAAGAGGGACAAGGGAAAGCACCCGGAATCATCCGGGCACTTACGGCACGCAAAGAGTTGGAGGTTAGGATACTTAGGGAAAAATATTAGTGGTGTAAACACTGAGAAATATACTAGGATACTTAGGGGAAAATATCAGTGGTGTAAACATCCAATATATAAGTATAGGGTCTATATTAGATTCCATAGAGATCAGCTTCATTGTCTGGTTACCTAATTGTGTTCCATCAAAATTACTACTTTGTAAAATGTTGTTAGCTCCTCCTCCTCTTCCTCTTCCTCCTCCTCCTCTTCTTCCTCCTCCTCTTCCCTCTTCTTTTCCTTCTTCTTCTCCTTCTTCTATTTCTTCTTCTTCTTTTTTTTTTTTGGTTTATGTCTAAGTAGATGCTGCTGCCAAGGACATCTTTGGTGCACTTAGCTTGTTACTTTTACTGAGTAGTTTTCATAGAATGTGAACACACAGCTAAAGGATTAGAACAGCTTTATGGCTTCTAATTCTTGGAGCCGTTTCTTTCCTCTGGAGTACTCCCAAATATCACAATTTTGTAAGACTTTGCCTAGGCTTTTTAAAACCTTGTTTCCCTTTTCTTCTCCCCCAGATGAGACTCTTCTGCACAATAAAGCCAAAAAGTTTCTTAGCTTTATAAGTGAAGTAAGATCTAAAAGTGGAAAAATAGAAAGGAATAAGCAAGGGGAAGGTCTGCCCTTGTGACCTTCTGTCTTGTCTTGTCCTGTCCAGTCTTCTTTTTTTCTTTCTGGTGCTGGTATCAAACTTAGGGCCTCATGCACGCTAGTCAAATGCTCTACCACTAAGCTACATCCCCAGCCTTAAATTTCTTCTTTTTATTTAGTATTTTTTCCAGTTGAACTTTGGACTTTTTCTCAAACTAATGTTTTTTAAATTCACTTGATGGCTTTTTTTTTTTTTTTTGCTTCCATTTTCAGAGGAATTTGACTACGTTCCCTCCATGTATGAGGTCATACAGTTCTAAAAAAAAAAAAAAAAAAAATTGGGATAGTTAACCTTAAACTCTAAAGCCTAGGAATATTTTCCTAAATATAGGTCACCATTGCAGCCCTTTCTGTTGCTAAAAATGTTGAAATATCTTCTTGCTTTACAAGTTTTGCAAGAAGGTCCGTTCCTTTTGTCAAGAATGTGTATTTCCTGCCAGGCTTGGTGACACTCGCCTGTAATCCCAGCACTCAGAAGGCTGAGGCAAGAGGATCACTGTAAGTTTGAGGCCAGTCTGGGCTACAAAGTGAGCTCAAGACTGGCCTGAACTGCATAGTGAAACCTGTCTCAAATGAGAAAAATAAGTGTACTTCCTTTATTACACTGTCACTGTGATCTCCAACATTCTGTCCATACATTTCCTTTTATTTACTTTATTAGGACGATCAGTAAACTAATCAGTTTGCCTTTTTCTGTTCTGTAGGGCAGATTGCCCCTCCCAGTCATCTGATTCGAGTAGAAGGGAACAGCCACGCCCAATATGTAGAAGACCCCATCACAGGAAGACAGAGTGTGCTGGTGCCTTATGAGCCACCTCAGGTAAAGAGCAAGAAAAGAAAAGAAAAAAAAAGACAGATCCATGACAGTCACATTGGCTGACTGGGAGGACTTGAGAATAACATTACTGTTGGTAACAAGGGTGTTTCTACCATGTATCTCTCTCTGTGTGAGGCCCCATCATCAAACATATAATTTTTTGATATTTCTTTTGTCCCTCTTCTCCACGTGCCTTCCTTTCAAAATGCCCAAATATTTACTGAATTAATATGCAAATGTGAATTTTATCGATGTTACCATAATAAAGACAGATAATAATTGAGCTGGAAATAGGGTTTCTGTCCATCTGACCGTGGATTCCATAGTGGATTCCACACTGGTGCTGGATGTAAGAATTCTGATACTGATTTGTAAATCGGAGCATCTAAGAGAAATCTCTTAGCTGACTTTTGCCTGACCAGTTGGTAAATTTGTAAGTCTGTTGTGCATAGCAGAATACTGTGGTAGAAACTATACAAAAGTAATGAGACCGAAGTTATGTGGTTTGCCAACTTGCTCTGTGGATCTTTGACACGTGACTGTCCTCCTGTGGGCTTCAGTGGCCTTATCCATGAATGAGCACTTTAAAAAAATTAAGATGTGCTATGCACATGTACCAACTCCCCACAAAAAATACAATCATTGTATACTGTAAACATGTATGGATAAAAATTAAAATAAAAAATAACCTAGATGATTTAGTTCTGAGAACATTTTAAAGTCCAGAATGTTACTTATGGGAATGTATCCTCAAATGTATTATACAGTTTTGCTTCTGTAGGGAAAATATGGAGTGATGGAGTGATGCTGCTATTTTTGACAATTTTTTCAGCTCTCTTAGTGATATTCATGTCTATGCTGTAGCCTATATTCTGGGTGATTTGAATCAGCATGCAATAAACTGGGTCAGAGATCAAAGATCTGTTAAAGCCTATCTCACCTATGTTGTCTCCAACATTTCAAACATTAGCTTGAAGCGTCCCGCAAGGCAAAGGAAAGACGAATCCACAGTGGACGTCAGACATTGCCTCCTAGAAGGAAGCATTTGCCTTCATTTGTAGTGGAATTCTTTCCAAAGAGGAAAGAGTAGAGAAGGAAGACTATCAGCTCAAACCATCATTAATGCAGCTTTTTCTTTTCTCCTGTGCTCAGGTTGGCACTGAATTCACGACGGTCTTGTATAATTTCATGTGTAACAGCAGTTGTGTCGGAGGGATGAACCGCCGTCCAATTTTAATCATCGTTACTCTGGAAACCAGAGAGTAAGTGATATTTGTAAGACTCATTCTACAAGCAACCGTGGGCAGAGGGAAAGGTGAAATTGTGTTTCATCACTGGCTTTGGATGCACGGTGGAGCCCACCTCAGTTTTGTCCTTTGTGCTTTAAATTCTTGCTGTGAACACTTCCATAAAAAAGAAAGGAAGTAGAGAAAGACAAGGGTGGGTAAAATTAGAAGAGGGGAGAACTAGGAAGGTGTACAAGTTGCCTCATACCTGAATTCTTGACCTTTGACTGGAATTGTTTGTTATTAGACAGCCTTTGTTTTTATGTGGCCCTGAGGCATTTAACAGTTTCTTTGAGTAAGTCTGGGATACCTGAGGGGATTTTATCCTCAGAAGTCCACTGGATTAACTCAAGTTTCCTCCAAAATATGTAGCTAAATGCAGCTGTTCAGCTAATGGCTTGGAGGTTCTTTGCAGAACAAATGGAATGTTATTTACTAATATTGCTGGTGGCACATAAGCACTTTTGTGTTGTGCCAAGTTCTTTGCGGACCTTCCTCAGAGCAGTCACAGCTGTATGGGTGGTTATGGTGTGCCCGTGATGGCCAGGAAGACTCCAGAGGCTCTGCACAGTCCTTGACTGCAGATTTTCCTTTCTCTTTTCTCCAATTCCTAGTGGGCAAGTCCTGGGCCGGCGTTGCTTTGAGGCCAGGATCTGTGCTTGCCCAGGAAGAGATAGGAAGGCAGACGAAGACAGCATCAGAAAGCAGCAAGTTTCGGACAGCACAAAAAACGGTGATGGTACGAAGCGCCGTAAGTAGATGTAGCAGCCAAGTGGGGTAGTGTTGAGTCTTCAGCAGATGAAGGGGGTGTGGAGGCAGTGTTAGAGAAACTGCATGATGAGAACTATTAGCTTTAGCTGCCAGTATGACTTGAGGCCCCCGCAGGAGTGGAAATAAGTATAATGTTGATGGAGACAATAAAATGGACCCTAAGTATATACTATAGATGTATGAAAGCAAATATTCATAACTAGCACTTCTTGTTACGCAGCTCCTCACAGTGTGACTGCTGCACTAGTTATATCAACATTGTCTGGAAACTGGGTAGAAATGTAAACTCTTTTTTTTTTTCTTTGATACCAGAAATCAAACTCAAGACCTGTGTTTGCCAGGCAGGAACTGTGCCGCCGAGCTATGTCCCCCTGCCCCAAAATACAAATTCTTAAGCCCCAAAGTACAGCCTTCTTGTATTAGAGACTTTGGAGGTGAAGCTCAGTAATCTATGTTTTACAAACCCAGTTATAGGTGTTTTGCAAGCCCTACAAGTGGTTCTTCTGCCACCTAACTCTTGAGAAGCAGAATCTAGCCTATTGATATCAACTTATCATTCCGATATTAAGCATGAGGACTAAAATAACATCTTCCAACCTCATGATTCAATGACAATAAAACAATCAGAACAAGTGAGACAATTATATTTAAAGGTATATTTCATGTGGCATAATGAGTAAGGATGCAGAGCAGGTCTGGTCCAGTCTTGATCTCGCATATATGACCCTTTTGGGGCCTCAGAAACTTCATCAGGTGTCTTCAAATTTGATTTTAACTAATGGAAGCTTTTAAAATGAAATATTTCATGGAAGCAATAATGCAAAATAAATGAAAGTAGAGCTGGAAGATCACGAATGCACATGAGCTGCTAACGTGGGTGAAACTGGATTCAGGAAGGTGTCTTGGGCAAAGCTGATATCACAGCCATAAATATTTTAAAATATCATATTATGATTTTTTGTGTGAAAAAAAGTATAATGTTACCATTGATTGGTATCCAGATTATATTATATTTTGCAGGAGAGCCCCTCACCACCAACTTCTGATTGGCAGTAGTTCATGCTTCTCCTGTTGGTTCTTTCTGTCTCTCATCAGTTCTCAAAAAATTCATACATATATGACATGACAGAATGCCATAATGATAGAAACATCCGCAAAACCTTTGTGTCTTCCTGATAGCATAGCTCCTATCTCTTACCTGAGCACTCCATTTACCTATAAATTAATGACTTCCAGTAAGAACAGATTATCTGAATTTTGGCAGACAGATTACCTTTATACCCTACATTCTGGCTGGGTATATCTTAGGAATTTATTCCTCATTAATTCCCTTACCTTATCAAAAAAGTTTCTACAACACACATTTAATTCCATGGGACATGAATGAGCTGAAAAACAAAACATGGATCCAATTTTTCTGCCTTTTCTTGAGAGCTCTTCTCAGAGCCACATGAGCAAGATGCACGCTTTCCTGCCTATTTACTTAACCTGAATGCTATTTCTCAACTTCCTGAATTTTCTCCCTTGACTTACTCCTCCTTACCTTTTCCTTACCTCATTATTACTAAGAATGCATTTACTGTAAAGCAAGTATCACCCACTAAGTGGATGTTTAAGACCAGACTCCTTAGTCTTGCGGATGTTTCTATCATTATGGCATTCTGTTTAATATGTATTATTAAATATGGTTAATATTTAATAACTAAATATGTTTAACATATATTATTGCTGCCAAAATGTTCCCACAGTGAAACTTGCATTTCTTTTCCACCAGCTTTTCGTCAGAATACACATGGCATCCAGATGACATCCATCAAGAAACGAAGATCCCCAGATGATGAGCTGTTATACTTGCCAGTGAGTTTCCCGTGGATAGTCATGATCACCTCATTCTAACCTTCTTTGAATGGTCTTTTACTAAATGACACTTTCCAGTTATCTGTGTCAATGGAGAGGAACTATTTTAGTCAGTTGGAGATGCAACCAGAAAGTAATATAATTGAGGTGACTTATAAACAACAGAAATTTATTTCTTATAATCATGGAGTTTGGGGGTCTGAGATCAACACACCAGCCTGGTCCTCTGGTGAGGGCCTTCTTCTGAGTTACAAACTGTCTTCTCCTCTCTTTTTCAAATGATGGAGAGATGGCTGAAGAGCTCTCTAAGATCTCTCTTACAAGGACACTAATGCTTTTCTTGAAGCTTCTGAGTGACCCAAATAACCTATGGAGGCCCCCACCTCCTTATATCATCATTTTAGGGGTTATGATTTCAATTTATGAAGTTTGGGGATTACAAATATTTATAATGGTGGGAGAAACAGAAATAAAGCAAAGAGAGTATATATATATGTTTCTGTAATTTTTTTAAACATAGGAAATCTTTCCTTCCATAGTTTTGAAATATATTAATAGTGTAAATTCTTCTATTTTCTTTCCCACCCAATTAAAGGTACCTCCTAACACACTTTTTAACACAAGTACTTAAAATTTATTTACATTTCATTATTTATAAATGATGACTATCCCACAGTGTGGCTATATCAATTTAGTCCTAATATTTTGTTAGAAAAGAAATTCACAAAGTTGATGAGACTATAATTATAGAATGTTGACTATCAGTTTTTATTGAGATAAATGTGTACATCTTTATGGGGAACAACATGGTAATTTGATCCATTATATAACATGGGTAATTATCGCACCAGGATAATAATCACTCACATCTTCTCAAACAGGAATCATTTCTGTATATCTAGAACTTTCATTTTCTTTTAGGGAGTGACATAATGAAAGCCAAGTAAGGCAGAATCCTCAGTTGTATGTGAATAGCCAGGAGGCTTGGCCTAGTTATTGTGTAAGAATATCATTTGCTTCTACAAAGAACATTATCCCTCCCAAAGTCACCAATAAGGTTACTTCATTAGATTATGACTGCAGTTCACTGAATTTTTACTACTCTAGGTCTTTGGCAGCTAGAATAGCAACAAAGTTTTGGTGGTAAGTATAGCCCTTGATGCCACCTAAACTGGCATAAGATGCAGGAAAGCAGGACCAAGAGAACTGACTCTCTGCTGTTGCCCTGAATCCAGCTTAAAGCAACTCAACAAGTTTGGGTGTGCCACACCTACCCAGAGCCTTGGGAAATAGCTTGCCACTTGATGAATCAGAAATCAATTCCGCTGAAGTTGTCAGTTCCTTCTATCTCAGGCTACACATGGAAAATGATTTATGACCTTTAAATGAAATATTACCCTGATATAGCAAACATTACAGAACTATGTTCTCAGCTAATGAGAGAGGAACTGCTTTAAAAACTATTTTTAAACAAAATTTCAGGTTTTACAAATGCAAAAAAATACCCTGGAACAATTTAAGTCTAAGAGTACTGAAAAATCAGCCACTGAGGTGTTGGGAAGGAAAAGCAACTCTATCAATTCAGCATGTGTTTAATGGGTATTTGTTGAGTGGCAAATACACTGGATCTGAGCAAGTACAGCTCTGCAGGACACAATTCTTGCCTTCAAAGAGCTTGTCTTTGACTGAGAATAGGCAGTGATAATACAATGCAATAAAAACCTCAGTAGAGTGGGGCATAGAGCTGTGTGGACACTTTAGAAGGAGGCACATATAAGCAGAAGATGGAGTCTGGAGAGAATTCTCAGAGAAAGGGCTCCAGTGCTGGAATTAAGACTCTGGTGAGAGGGGAAAAAAAAAAAATCAATCCAATCCCATATTCTGGCAAATGCTGCCCCTTGTGCTCAGGGAAAAAACTAACAGAAGAGCTGGTGTTCAAAATTTAAGTGGATAATAACTCTCAGGGGTTTGCAGTTCCCTGCGTATCTTGCTTGCCTCCTTCTGGCCCTGGCTGTCTCCTTACTCTTCAGGCTTTTAAGACATTCTCTAAAATAGCAGCTCATTTTATTCCTGTTACAATCTTGTCCTTCCAGACCTAGTTGCAGTGGATTCTTGTTTTGTCACCGAACAGGTTCTTAGGAAGTTCACAAAGGGATGATGGGCAACCTAAACCCACTCCACCTGTAGAATTAAGTGCACAAGTGACTCAGATATTTTCCCACTGTGCATATCTGTCAATGAACCAAAAGTGCCAGGAGTATTGATTTCCGTGTTACAAGTAAATGTTAGCAAGCAGAACAATTAGAATTAACAGAACCATGGATGACGAGGATCACCTATACTTTTTTCTAATAATCCTACTCTACAGTTCTTCATTTGTTCCTCTCTTTCTGTCTATTCTTGCCTAGGTGAGGGGTCGTGAGACTTACGAAATGCTGTTAAAGATCAAAGAGTCCCTGGAGCTCATGCAGTACCTTCCACAGCACACAATCGAAACATACAGACAGCAGCAGCAGCAACAGCACCAGCACTTACTTCAAAAACAGTGAGTGTGTTGATGTGTGCCTTTAAGCATGAACAGGGGTGACTTTTTTGCATCAAAAAAGGGATGACTGGTGGACAATGTAGAACACGATACTGTGTGACAGCTGGTCACAATAGGTTCAGATAAACTGGTGTGGTTCTTATTTTCCAGTTTAAACCGTTTGTGTATCCTATGCTTTATAACTTTCCTTTTGAGGAGTTCACCAATGTTCTAAAACGGAATCAGAGACCGTACTAACAGAGTTACTAACACACAATTCTAGTAACAATGTGTGTTTTTAAAACCATAAAAGTCCTCTTTCTTCCAAATGGTTTGGCTGGTACCTGTTCAGGGTGCACACAATCCATTTTTGGGAATACTGTGGTAGGCTGGGGTTGAGAAGAGATTTTACTACACAGCGACTTGTTCGAGCACTTTGTTGAGAAAGATTCTGAGACCTAACGTGTGTTCCTTAGACAAATGAGGGCAGATGAACAAAGCAATATCTTATTGCCATTTTAGTAGCCTTGCTCCAGATTGTCTCCCAGCAATACATTTTTTTACATAAACAGAAAATATTTTGCAACCATATTAGCATATATGTGCAACCTATTTATGTTAAATTTTACCTTACCTCTTGAATTGTTGATGATGTTAACTGTTTTATGACTAACAAGAATAGACTAGCTGTTAGGAAAAGATGGTAGGAAAAGTGTGATAGGATGTTAGGAAAAGTGCTCATTTGTTGGCCAGTGAGCACTCTCTCTATACTTATCTTTTGCTAGTTAAGAATAATCATTCATTAGTTTAGTTAAGTTATTGCATTGGAAGCATTGCCAATCTCCAGATAAATGTAAAAAATATAGACATTTGAGAAATTCAGACATTCAGGATTTCAGAGCAAAAAATGAGACCAAAACGTATCTTGCCTAAGGCAAAGATGATCTTTTCTAATAGAAATGCAAACAATAAATAATGGTTATTTTCTCATATGAAACGATCCACTGTAGGGAGAGAGTTATGGAAAGTGAATAAGGCCCCTTATTCATGCTTAAATAAACCTAAGTGTGGGTTGAGGAGGCTGGACTGTACTGCTGAGGGGAGGTCTCCTCTGAATCTACCCAATGACGGGGCACAGGGTGTGGCTAAGGGATATAAAACAGGCATGATCTGTCTTCAAAGGACTTGAAGCAATTTGAACATTTAAGACCTTTTTGGCTGGAAGGACCCTCATTATTTACTTTTAGCATGTAAACTTGGCAATTCATATTTGTACAATTTTGTACAGCAGACTGATCAGAAAGTTTAATTAAGAGGTTCCTTGTAAAAGAGAATTAGAACTCTGGGTTGCAGACAGAATTCCTATTACCAATCGTGTGGATTCTGTTAGATATCAGATGGAAATACACTTTAATATATTCCAGTGCAAAATTGATTTAGTTCTTCTAAAATCACGTAACAGGGATCAAAGAAACACAGACTTGAATCACCATACGGACTCAGAAGGGATAAGTGCCTTCCCTGAGCATGCATGTCATGGAATTATGTAATACTCTCAAATTGCTCTCAGTTCTGTCTGGAAAAGTTAAACCCAACCAAAATGACACCAAGAGAATTACTCAGCTGCATATCACGCTGAACTAGTTGTTCCGTGATAACCTTGTCTTTCTTTCTTTTTTTTTTTTTTTGCAGTTCACAGGAAAGAGTCTGATCATCTAGCACAGGGACCTGTAAACATTTTTTTTTCCATAAAATATTGGTCATAAATATTTCAGGCTTTTTGGTCCCAGTGGTCTCTTGCATCGCTCAGTTCTGTAGCCATAGCAGAAAAGCAGTCACAGGTATTACACTGATGAATGAGACAACTGTTCCAGTAAAACTTTATTCATGGACTTGGAAATTTAATTTTGCATTTTTCTTGCATCATGAATTATTCTCTTTTTAATATCCCTATAAAATGTTTTTAGATTTTTATTGAGTGGGCCAAGCTTAACCCTGTCCCTAAAGTTTGCTGTTTCATCTTATAGATAAATAAAGTGGCCACACTTTAATTTTTTCCTTGAGGTGCAGCTTTTGTTTGATAGGTGGATGTGGAAGTTAGTCTGGATATTCTAAAGAGAAGAGGTAGTAAAACATTTTGGAAAATACTAAAGAGACTTTTGAAAGTAGCATTTCAGCTGAGCACGGTGGCACATGCCTGTAATCCTGGCACTCAGGAGGCTGAGGCAAGAGGATTGCTGTGAGTTCAAGACCAACCTGGGTTACAAAGTGAGCTCAAGGCCAGGCTGAACTGCAGAGTGCGACCCTGTCTCAAAAAGAGAAAAAAAAAAAAAAATGAAAGTAGCATTTCAGTACTTAGCAAAGACAAGTACAGGCTTCAACAGAGATGAGAAAGATGGTGTCCCTACCTCCCTGTAGTTTATAATTTAGTGGTGAATTCCTAATCAAAAGAGCTTTTAAAGTTTAGAGAAGCTCAGGAATTTATTCTCAGTATTGCATAAGCTAATGAGACAATTTAAAATAGCATCTGTAGATTATACAAAAGAAGGAATAGTGTATCTAGTACAGTGATGGCAAACCTATGGTACATGTATTATTCATTTTTCTTTTAAGGCAAAAAATGTTAATGTATGTATAATCAAAACGAAAACCTCAGTATTTGGGTTGAATCGTAGAGCTGTCACTTTGTGATAAATCAGTGGGTTTTGAGATGTACTTTGGGCATGCATCTCTAAAAGGTTCGCTATCACTGCTATTCTAATTTCTTTGTCCTAGAAACTTTACAATCCAAGAGTACTGACATTAGTCAGGGCCATATTTTTTGTTTGGTTGGTTTGGTTTGGTTTGGTTTTGATTTTTGTGATTTTTTTCATTTTTTGAGATAGGGTCTCACTATGTAGTTCAGGCTGATCTTCAAATCAGTATGTAGCCTGGGCCTCGAGCTCCTGGCAATCTTCCTACCTGAGCTTCCCCAGTGCTGGGATTACAGGCATGTGACATCATCCTTGGCTAGTTAGGGGCATATTCTACTCATGTTAGTTTATGTGCCATATGTAAAAATATAGAGCCTTCTGTCCCTAGGATGAGCTTTTTTCTGATTGGTGTGCTCTGTTTTAAAGAGAATTTTAGGCTTCATGTTTAAAAAAACAGTATATTTCATCAGAGAAAAAAATATGACTTAAAATTATGTTAATTAAAAAATAGTCCCCCCAAATTTTTGGTACATATTTGAATTTTTGCGTGTATAGCTACAGATAGGAATTAGTACCTTCATAGTTTCTTGGACTATTCATTTTAGAGTATCATATGCATGTTTTTGATTTGTTATCTCACAGCTGTGATAATTGATGCATGGAGATTTAACAGACTGCAAAATTAAATCTTTGCAAAATATACACATTTGGTCTAATTATGCCTCTCTAACATTATATATACTTGAGTCTGCTGTGATTGATATGCATCTATATGAATTCTCCACTTGCCTCTTCTTCAGCTAAGTTTCTTTCAGCTCTTATTTTCATGCAAATCTCTAAGAAAGAGTATGAATGATTAGACAAAGAAAAATGGAAATCTAATTTCCTGGCAATCATTTGAAAAGAATAAATCAGCTTGGAAAATGCCTATAATAGCCTGTGATTTCCTTTCCAAAACATAGTACCAATTTTATGCTGGTAAGGAATCAATTTTGTATTTTTCTTTATAGTACAGAGAAAATTGGTGGGAAGGGAATATACTTTATAGAATGTGACCGTAAAATATTTTTAGTTTAATTACCTCTATCACTTTCCTGCTGTGTGTTTTCTCTCTGCCTGCTTTTCGTTTGTGCATGGTTTTCTTTTTCTTTAAAAAAAATCCTTCACCATTACCTTCATGATCATAGGCTATGTGGAGGGTGGATTTTTTATTGAGTTGCTGTGAGTCAAATTGTTACAGATACAAGTACTCTTTATACTCCTCAGGAAGAAATTTGATTTTAGCTAACAAATCCATATTAGTATAAATATAGGCAGTTATATTTATGGAAGCCAGAATCCATTGGAGGACAAATTGCACCCAGAGTTTACATTAGACTCTTTGCCTTTATGTTTCTTAAGGGCATTAATGCTTAACACAGCTGTGTAGTGACTACTTGACAGATGTAACAGTCTTTTGACTTTTATATTCAGATTCAGACAATTTCTCTATCTTTTTCTCTTTCTTATCTTTTTCTTTTTCTTTTCCTGTAGCTTAACTTGTATTCTCTACTCTTCCCTATTCAGGCCAACATGACTTTGTTACTCTCTTGCTTAATCTAACTCTAATTTTCCTCTCAAAAACTTTTTTTGAGCTTCTAAGATCTGAACTTTATTTACATTTTTACTACATATGACATCCTGAAGCACTCTCCTAGTTACCTCACAACTGCAGCTTATACATAGTACAAGTAAATACAATAGTACAAATAGCACATAAATAGTACAAGTAAGTACTAATAAGAAAATATTACAACAGAGCAGTATTTTTAAGACTATAGGTCCAGCTCCCCATCCTATACCTCGAGAAACTGAGGCCCAATAAACTATACCTCTGATTCTTAGCTAGTTCAAAATAAAGTTAATACTAGAGTGAAATTTCAAACCTAGAACTATTTGCAATGATTTGCTCTGCTTCACTAGTTACGTTGTAATACTAAAACTCAAGCAAGCATCCATTCCCAAGTTTTGGTCCCTGTTAATTCTTCTTTCATTTTAAAGTCTCAAATTCATGTGGCTATGGCTGTCTTCTAGAATGGTAGTATTTTTCCCCTCAACCCTATGTATGTAAGAGAGAAGCAAGAAATATTTTTAAGATGACTAATATAACAGGCAGCATAGGACAAAACTATCCAAACAAAGAGTCAATATTAATATTGCATTTCTGAGTAGATATCCTCTGTGTTTCTGAAATTACATTTATCTTCTCAACAATATCAAGACATTTTCAGGGTTGAAATTTATTAGTTCTGAATTCATATAAAAATGTGCAGATTAATTAAACTTAAATCAAACCATTTCTCTAAATTTGTACATCTCATTGCCTCAATAGTTTCTTTTCTAGCCCTTGAAGTGTGGACGTCTGTGGTCTATCTACTTTTACAATGCCTGCAAGGCTAGCTTGATTTCTGCATGTGATCTCATGCTTGTCTTTGCTACATGAAAAGCCTCAAACTTTAATATCCAAAAAAAGAATCAGAGTTGTACTTTTTCAGTTGGCATGAAGTTGTTTCTTTACTAATTTTTACCCTGGAAAATTTTAAGAAGATAGCAATTTTTGCTGGTTTACTGAATCCCAGTACTAACCAAAGGAAACTGGCTTTGTACCTTTGCAAAGAGTAAACAAATACTCCAAACACCAGTCTGGGAAAAAGTTCCCAACCATTTCATGGAGTTGCATAACCTTTAGCAAAATAAAAGGGCTTGTTCCTGGCATCTTTGTAGCATAATTGATTTCTTAATTATGCAAAAGTTGCTTTCATGAGTTTGATATACGTGTTTCCAGGCCAAGTTTGTGACTGAAAGGATTAAGGTATTTATCCATTTCAATCTGGGCACATACAAAATGCTCATTAATAGGTCTTTACAAATGCACGATGACACAGCCCCCGTACTGATAAGATCATATTTCCTCATACTGCATAGTTCAGCTAGACATGAACAGTAATGAGGTATAATAATTGGGCAGATGACATTCTGCAAAAGATTAAAGTTGGATGCTCTTTTTCAATTAATTGAGTCCAGTAAAATTGATGCCAAGTACTGTACTAAGCATCTTGACCTATCCTGTCTCTATAACCTCCAAATGAATCGCCTGTGGAACTTGTGAAAAGTGTGTATGCCTGGACTTCAACTTGTTTTCAGAGGGGACCTGGAAAAATACCTTTTCTAAAAAATAAGCTCCACAGATGATTCTGATATATACTTCTGGTTAAGTACTTGTTTTTTTTTTTTACCTCATTTCTTCTTCATAAAACTCTTGAGAAGAAGAAATCTCTGAGTCAGTGAGAGGAAGATAAAAAAGAGGGAACAGAAATAGCTTCTCGGGCTTTCTGTTTCATCTATGCTATGATCATGAAGGTAGGAGGAGTGTGTTTCTGTATTCATTTGTTTTGGATACATGCAGTCTTAAGACTTCATCTTTTCTTTTCTCTGGTTCCTCTCTGCAGTCTCCTTTCAGCCTGCTTCAGGAATGAGCTTGTGGAGCCCCGGAGAGAAGCTCCGAAACAATCTGACGCCTTCTTTAGACATTCCAACCCCCAAAACCGATCGGTGTACCCATAGGACCTGTCTCTGTATTTTAAATGTGTGTGTTTGTTGTGTTTCCATGTGTGTATGTGTGTGCGTGTGTGTATGTGTGTGTTTGTGTATCCAGCCCTTAAAAATAGGACTTGAAGACATTTTGACCCTGAGACCCAACTTCGCAAAGGCACACAGCCACTAGTGAGAATCTTTTTTGAAGGGACTCAAAACGTTACAAGAAAGGACGATCTCTGCAGACTGTGTACCCTTAGCTCCGGCGTGGGCGGGGTGTGGGAGAGGAACCACTGTGTACGTCTGCGTGCTTCTCTGTTGTTCCTGGGAAGGAGGGTGTCCCACGGGGAGAGGGACATTAACATGTGTATCGGAACCCTTTTCTGTTACCTTCCTTTGTGTTTCTGAAACTCATAACAAAGCTTTTGAGCAGGTCTCAAACTTAAAATGTCTTTTTAAAAAAAGAGAGCGAGAAAAGTTGTTATGGTCCATGCATAAGTAAATTGTAAATGACTGACAGACTCAGGCCCTTTGAATGCTGGTCATGCAATCAGATTGCGAGTAGCAACACACTAAGGTGTCAAATACACTGCTGGGCAGAGTGGTAAGAACCCTAAGCAGCCAATACTGGGGTGGGACGTTCTTGTCTTCTCTTTGAGAAACTTGCACCATTAGTAATCTGTCTTTGCTCCTCATATATATATAGGTAAGAAGTATATTGATGTATCAGATCCTATCTCTGCCACCTTAAATCAGCATCTGATATGATAGTTTTTCTGTATGAAACCCTGGAGGTCCACCCCTAAAACTGTGTAGACCAGGAGACAGCTAAACTAGCTTTTTAATTTTTAATTGGAAGATAAATCCACCCTAGTCCTATTGCTCCAGGTACTTTGCCATTATTCAGTGCCCAAAATAGAGTTCAAAATCTTCTCACCAACTCTGTGATTAATTTGTTTAATTAGAGTTCCTGGCCCTCAATCCTTCCTACCATAATACCAGCCAAATTATCAGTACTGTTCCAAAGCATTTATCCAGGAGACTTAACATTTTAAGTACTGATTAAACAGACACATGGTAAAATCAGTTCTTCTGGAGGAGAAATTACAAGTAGAGACAGAGGATGACTTTCTTTCTTCCTGGCTCAAAGAGATGAGAGAATTTGTTTTTGTCCATCTTAAAAACACATGTTAAAGTTAAAACACAAAGTTCAATCCCACCCCTATCTTTCCACACCAGGTAACCAGCACTTTGCTCTGTGTCACCCAGGGAATGATTTCTTGTTATTGAGGCTGTTGCTTTATGGATGTGTGATTTTAATTTTCAATAAACTTTTGCATCTTGGTTTATCTTGCAGTTTTTGTTTCTGCCTCTCTTGCTTTACCCCGTAAATATTAAATATTCTAATATAAGTGTTGGAAGTATCATATGTAGGTCTAAAGAGTAATAGAACTGTTCCTTTGGTCCTGTTTTTATTTCTTTTCTCAGTATTTGGTGTTTATTTAAAATACTGTATAGGGGCTGGGGATGTGGCTCAGTGGTAGAGTTCTTGCCTTGCATACACAGGGCCCTGGGTTCGATCCCCAGCACCAAAAAACAAAACAAAAAATAAAATACTCTATATAAAGATCATCAATCTGAAATATTAACTACAATGCCTAAACTAACTTAAGAAATATTTTAGCCCTATGAGCAATTTCTTCCTGGGTCACGAAGACTATAGTAGTATTTATTAACATCTCCAAACAAGCCTGGGTTGTATTTTAAAGTGCCAAAATCATGAAAATTAATTGAAATTAAATTCATATTTAGTAAAAAATACTTGGCTTCTATGAAATAGGCATTAGCAAAATTTTGTCAGAAATCTGTAATGGAACCCTTTCTTAAAAAACTTATGATTTGTTCTGAGCTCTTAAAACTCCAAAAGAAGTTGCTCTATATGAAACTAATCTGGTAGTTTAGATAGGTACATGAGGAAAAAGACTTTAAATAATTACTTACTGTAAATGTTTACAAAAAAGTATATTAATAAAATCAAATGGTCTTGTTATTTTTGCAGTGTTTTCAATTGGTCAACAACATTGATTCACAAATCCTTTAAAGGGTTAGTGAGTAAGTTTCACCTTTTAATATTTGCTTTCTTTCCCCTTATTTTTATAGAAGTTTTATGGGCAAATGCTGAGACATGTTTGAAAATTACAACTGATCTACTAGGGAGTCCATCCGTGTTGGACTTTTTAAATATGAAGTCAATATCTAATGAGCTTATGTTTATTTTCAATTTTTGTTTTTTATTAGTCCATGTTTCCAGTTCATAAAGATTACATTTTTCATGGGGAATTGGCACATGTAAATAACACATATCATTTTTTTTTCTTTTGTTTTTGGAAGCAAGATTATTCAGATAGAGAGAAAAATCAGGGTTTCTTGGGGAGGAAACTGGGAAAGGTAGAATTCCTTTGCTGAGGTTCCATGCCTCATCCGCCCCATATCATCACCACCTTTTTTTTGTTTTAACATTTTTCATACCATGGATGTCCTGCTATTTTCTTAGTATCCTTTTCCCTTCTCACATTCTGTACTACAGAAATTATTTGGTGGAATATACTGAGGCCGAGGTAAAATTAAGTTCTGCTAAAGAGTTGATTTTTAATTAGCAATGAAAGATTTGAAGGTCTCTTCAAGACAATAGAGGAGACATATTATATCAGGTATTTTGACACTTACCACATAGTCACTAGAGTTGAATCAGGAAACCTCATTTCCCATTTTGTATCACCTAAAGCCACTTCCAGCTCTGCAGGTCTGTGTTTTAGGCATCACATGTCCACAGAAGGTCACAGTGTCAGAGTGAAGATCTGGGACTTGACGCCACAAGGGCTCATTCTCAAAACTAGATAGAGACCCTTGAGACATTCCTTTCCTTATTTTGCTACACTGAGTTCCTAGAAAATCTAGCTGAACTGGAGAGTAAACAACCTCAGACACAAACTTTACTATTTGCCTTGAGGAAAACTATGTTTTCACATTTTTAATATTTTGGCTTTTTATTGGGGGAAGATTTCAGAGGAGGATGAAAAGAAAAAATAACAACACTTGCACTGGGTGGTGATAATGTTCACCTGTGTACCTAGTGTGAAGAGGCTTCCATACAAGGACTACTGTGAGTTCGAAACCAGCCTGGGCTACATAGGAAGTTCAAGGCCAACTTGAGCTACGTTGTGAGACCCTGTCTTAAAACAACAAAAGCAAACTAATAATCCTGTTTCCTTGAACATTATTTCCTTCCCTTTAGTTTCCTCAGAAATTTGGGAAAATGTTTACTAAAGTACAGTGACATTATATTTGTAATGGAAAAAATATGGTTGTTCATCCAGGCCATGAGTTCATGAATGGGCCATGAGTTTAGTGGTAAGGGTGATTAGTATAATCTTCACATTTCGGAGACTGTGAACTTATGAAAAAACATGCTGTCCTCATTTCACTCTTTGCAGCTTTAAAAGTCACTTCTAAAATGCATTCAGAATTCCAGAACTTTTCTGACTGTTTCGTTAATCATTTGCTCACTCTGATTTCTGCATTTGCTGGTATAAGACTCCATCCATGCGGATGGCTATTCCTTCCTATTAATATTTAAACTGGTACCTTCCATCGCCTTGAACAAATACTAGAATGTTGGGCATTTCAGTGGGGAAGAGTAAAAAAGACTGTGTTCCTTGAATACCTACAATTCACCGCACAAGTACAGGGCTGTGAAGTGATCTCACCCAGTCCTCATTAGCCACTCATCAAAAGTGAACATAATACCTGATGTAAAGATTAAGAAAATGGGATGCAAGCCAGACTTGTGTAACATCCAAAGTCACTTCATTTGCTCATGTCAGATCCAGAAGATGACCTAGATATTGTGATTGACTCAGAAATCTATGTTCCTCTCTGGTCACCTGTGATTTCAGACCTACGTTCCCCCAGTTCAGTGCATTTTGATGTAATAGATAAACAGATAGAACAGTCATACTAACAAACAAAAAGAGATGATCTAATACAACCATCAAGACTAATGACCACAAGAGAAAGGAAGTTGTTGTAGGACGCAGAAGGCACTTAATGTGAATATATTTGTGAGTATATTTTTAATTTCTTAATTGTGGTCATGAAAAGTTCGAACCATTTCCATAAGCTCTTGTTGTATTCAACCAGTTTGGGAAAATGAGAAAGACAGGGGGAGGGTTCTTTAGATTAGAGAGGACAGCTTGCTTCTGGAACATGAACTGCTTTGTAGTAGACAAAGACAGTTAAGAAACAGCAGCCATCAAAGCGTCTCTTCACCGCCCCTACTCTACTTCCCTGCCCTAGGAACTTAGAGATGTTCCCACAAGGATCTCAATGTACTATCTTTTTATATCCGGTTCCCGCACAGGAATGAAGTCAGAAGTGCTTGGTAGATACTGGAGTGGCTCCCTTTACTATAGTTCTTGGTTCTTGGCTGTCTTGGTTGTCCATATTTTGCTAACCACTTCACCTATCTCTTGATTCTTTAACCTGTTGCCCACTAGTGTCTTATTCTTAAGGAAGTGTAACAGAAAGAAAAAGATAGTAATAATAATTTCTGCCTATCCATTTCCTGCTATACCATGACATTGTCCACAGGAATATTGTCATAATCACTCAAAACATGGAACAGGATGGAAGAGAGCTGAGTATCCTGTAGGGTTGTGCAGCTGGGAGGATTTATTATATGAACAGCTGTTTATACAATTTGAATCTATGCTCTGAGTATTTGAGAAGTGTTCAAGGGAAGAATCAATGGCCTCCTACCTTAAAGGCACCAAGGATAGTACAAAGCTGTGGCTTTGTGGATTTCACATGCTCATGCTAATTTATGCAGATGGATATACAGCATATTGTTTACATTACCTGGGCTGTGGCTCTTCAGTGATAAGGACTAGAGGCTTTTCTCACTCCAGGAAATTATGGAGAATGCAGGTTGGTATCTCTAACGGCCACCTCCTGTCACACTCAAGTGCTTACAGCCATTACATTTTTTTCCAAGCATTGTTCTGTGTTTGTCTGCAAGGTGGATTCATTTGCAAAATCTCCAGAATTTGTGCCACATATATGTGGAAACAAAGCCTCAAGAAAAAAATGAATTTATCCTTTGAATGTGAAGATGGCTGCTGCAGGAATGAGGCAAATAGGAACATAGTAATAACTTTTGTTTGAGAAATGTTAAAGGGGAGCTTTTCCCTCCCCAGATCAGAAACATGCTCACAGTCAAGTCTTCATTCCACGGTCAAAATAATGACTTACTATAAATGCTCCAGGTTATAAAATTACTCCCCATCTTCCCTTGAGTTCTCATCATAGCCTTTCAGGGTAGGATAGATCACTCTGTCCTTTGTAGCTGCTCTATGAGCATCTGAAACAGGTATCATTTCATTCATTTTTCCTAGCTCTACCATCTAACATGTACACCAGGAGTATATAACTATAGCCATTATAGTTTCTCCTGAAAAAACAAAAGCAAGAATGTTAAGTGTCTTGCACACAGAACATTGGCTTCCTAATATATACTGGAGGAGAGCTTAAATTTTGATTATCTGACCCTAGTTCTATATTATTTTATAGTGTAAAGTATTAAAAGTTTTATATTAAAAGAAAAGGGTATATCAGCCAACTAGGGAAACTCATCTCAACTATAGTGCAAAACATGACAAGCAATTCTAATAAATTTCCAAACTGAAATATACTCTGAATAGAAAACTGTATGTGTGGCTTTTTTTTTTTTTTTTTCTTTTTCCCCTTTTCCCAGGAGACTTGTAGAACGGAGGTCAACAGAACAGTTACTTGCATCCCTGGGTTGTCTCCTGTAGAAAAGCTGTTGGTCTTGTGATTGGTCCTTTCATAGCCCATGAACATCCCAGAGGAAAAAACATGTGTCCAACTTGAAGCCTCTGCATGACAGCAGGATGTGCTGCCAAGTGTCCTGTTTAATTGGCTTTACAGTTACTTTCCGTGTATCCCAAATGGTCTAGGAAGCTATAGATGGACTGCCTCAGCTGCATTTGAGCTTGGCAACTCCATGCCTTTCATTAGCCTTTGTATCTTTGCTCAGTTCATGTCCTTTACTGAGTTGGAGAGCAAGAGAAAGGCAAGGGATGTAGAAAACAACAGGAGGTAAAGGAGAATGTAATTATTTTCCTTTGCACAAAGGAGATGCTTGAGAAAGATATTAAACAGTGTGTTTGAAACATTCAGGAATCATATGACCTGGTGATTGCTTTTTAATCCTTTCTTAGGAAGGAAATATTCTCAGCTAGAAGCACAAATAACTTCTCATGATTAATGC